AGCGAGGGGACGGAGGGATGGAAGGAAGGCAGAATGGGAATGGAGCAAGGAAATGAGGGTCTCTCTCTAAACACCGTGAAAAAAGAAGTGTGTCCATCTGGGAAGTGTATGTCCTTTGGTGACTGTGAACTTGGTCTGTCCTTGTGGCCTTGGACTGGAACTACCAGACCATCTTGGTGTAGCAGACTGGACAGTAAGAGATGGGATTAGAAACCTGGGTTGAAGACCCAACTCTTGAATTTACTAGCTGTGCGATTTTAGGCAGGCTGTTTAACCGGCCTGGGCCTCAGCTTCCTCATCTGTGAAATGGAGAACTTAACACTATTTACCTCCTAGGGCTTGGTGGAGGATTAAATGAGAAGTGATCTGAAAACTGCAGAGTGCCATACGAAAGTTAGTTATTATTACGAAAGCAGTAAAACTGATTGGCGTTCTAAATTTATTATAACAAACTGATATTAATTCACTATACCATGGCCCCGACAGCTCTGAGGTTACCATTCTGCTCTGTGATACGAGTCTTGGGTTTTCTCAACCGTCGCTGTCTTGGAGCTCCGTAGAAGTGTGACGTTTGGGTACACCATGACCCAACTGTGGAACCACCTAACTGTATCTACCATACCTAGGAGTCGGGGTTGCAAACTTAGATTCTTCCTATACCCGAGTGTGTGTGTGCATTCACAGAGATTTTAGAAAAGGAACCCCTCTCCGCACACACTCCAAAATACAATATTGTGCAAAGTACCAGTCTAGAAGGCAAAAACACTAGCGTAACAATCTTTAAAGTCCTACAGAAGCGTCTTAGTATTTTGACACAGAAGATACAGAGAGTCAAACTGACTCACAGAGGATCAGGCAAGGCGTGCCGGGACAATGTTCCTCTAGTTCCTTCCTCCAGGCTTAGAAAACAGAAGGCTCTGGCTGGATTTGCTGGAAGAATCGTTCTTCAGCATTTCTCTGTCATGGTCCATCTTTAGGGCTTTTCTGGCTCCAACCTTCAACGAGCAAGAGGAACAAACATACAAACTCTATGACAGCAGCAATCCCAAAACGTTCCACTTGGATGGTTTTATTTATTTTTTGTACACAAAATAAAATGTTGGCTGTAAAAAAAAATATGTATTACATAGACATGAGCAAAAGGAGATAAATAGCACCTATGTTTGCTTTTGTTTAACTTGTAGACAAAGACTTATAGACAGGAGCCAAAAAAAAAAATCCTCTTTAGCAACTGAAAATGTTCATTGTTCAGTATGAGATTTGATACTTCTAAGAAAGACTATCATGAAAAAAAGAAAAAAAAAAAGATAAAGTGGAGATAAAATGGTTCATCATTATCACACTACCCAAAGATAAGCTTTATTAATGCTTTGGGGTAAACCCATCCAGATACATACATATTGCTTTCCTTCTGGGCATTTTCATGGTTTTGAAACTAGGAGATTTTTATGAGGAACACATTCATTATGATGGAGTTTCTCCTGAAAAGCTGTTACCAAATTGAATGTGTCTTAAATCTCTGATGGTTTACAAGGAAAATGCAATATATGCCATGGGTTCAGTCTAACCGTTTTTTGAGCACTTCCCACCCGCTGGGAGGGGCACTCTGGCAGCCACAGGTATGACCCCACTCCCAGGTCCTGGTTGGCCACTGGGCACAAGCTGGGCTTTTCAGATGATCACTCCTAGGATTTGGGATTGTGGGCTCTGAGATGCTACTCACCCCCTTCCCGTCACAAGACTGGAGAGAGATGAAATCAGCAGAGGTACGGAGAGAAGGAGATAGATCTAATGACACAGGCCTGTGTGCACACACGTGCACATGCTTGTGTGAGAGAGGACCTGCCAGTCCCTTAGCTTTTATGAGGCACTCATTTCTGCTTCCTTTTAAAAACTCTTGCTTCTGAGTAGGTTTCTGTTCATTGCAACCCAAGGATCTCTCTCACACACGACTCTGTACATACTGCAGATACAAATGTGAATTCCAAGTTTCTTTCCAACTGGGTTTAAATCGCCAGCTCTGTCTCCTATAAGACTCTAACCTTTAGGACACACAGACACTTGGGGAAAGAGGGCTGGCTGGGGGGTCGAGTTTGAGCTCTGCCACTTACATGACCCTCAGTTTCCTCATCTGTCAAACAGGGACCAGAATATTGGTTGTGTCTTTCTCAGAGGGCCAGAGGAGATTCTGGCAGGATTACAACAGGAGGGTTGTTAAGGCCACCTCTTATGCTCTTTTCACTTTAAGACAGGTTGAAAAATCACCTCCTGAGACCTGTGCCCGTGGCTGCCAGGAGCTTTGAATGTGTTTTGAGACTCTGCATGTAAAGTCCTTTCAGGGTAAGAAAGGCTAAAATCTCTCCACTGGTCAACAAAGTAAATATTGGTCTGAACAGCCAGGGAAAAAGAAAACAGCAAGTTTCAAAAACCCTTCTCCTCTAAACAATCTTTCTTTTATACTCCTTTTTATTTGATTTTCAGTAAAATTGCTGACTGTGGATGATTCCCAAATGCCAGTGCCCTGACCTAGTGTGGAGTTGGCTGTTGGAACTGAAGACAGGGAGTTTTTTAAAAAAGGGTCCCAGGTCCCGGGGGTCCCCACCCCAAGGTCTGCCAGGAGCTTGGGGTGGGAGGAAGTGCCCCAGGATAAACTTTGGTTCTCTTTTTGGGAGTGACAAGGGAGGGGGCTGGGATGGCTGACCTGGAAGAGGAAGGGACAGGGAAGATGCTAATAGGGCAGGCAGGGCTGGGGAACTGGCTGAGGCTTGGGATGGTTGGAACTGTACCCCTTGGAATGAACAGGCAGGGTGCAGGCACTCATTTACATAGCCACACGCGGCGGAAATTAACTCAGGACCTACGGGGGTGGCTGTGTCAGGCGACTGCAAGCATTGGCTCTAGAAAGCTCACAGCTGGTTCCTGCACAACCTCAGGTCTCGGTTTAAACATCCCTTCTTCAGGGTGGCTTTGCCTGGTGCTTAGATTGGGCGGGTCCCTGTAAAATGTGCTTCTGAGCTCAGCCTACTGGCCTTTGTCCTCAAAACACTTTGCATAAAGTAATTATTTAATCATTACTTGTATTTACTTTTTTTAAAAAAATGGCCCATGACTGTAGGTCAGAAAGGCAGAGATTTTTTATGTGCCTTAATTGATCTGTGTTTCTCAACCTTTTTTTCATTATGGCTGCTCCCCAGAGACTTCTTAAACATTTTTTTCCTAATTCCCCCCCATGAAATTTTAATATTACAGATAACACACATCTATCTATCTAATCTGTCTGTGATTTATACATAACAGGAACGAATTTTTGCCCCCTCGGGGGTGACACTGCCCTGCACTGAGAAAGCGTGATCGAATCTCACCACTGGGACAGCACCTGCCACATCACAGGCTCTCGATAAACACTTGCTGAGTGAATGAGGGCCTGGACAGTATCTCTTTTTGTTCACTCTTCTCTTTCCAGTGCTTAGCACAGTAGGGTAGCCTTGACTAGGTAAATGTTTATTAACTAGATTTTCCTCTTTAGCATACAGCCCACGAACAAGACTGTTGGCTGCAAAAAAAAAAAAAAAAAAGAAGATGACTGGCACTTTGGAGGACAGAAAACAAAAACCTGTAGATCCTTAAGAAGAAAGGAGATTCCAATTCTGAAGCTTGCTGGTGATGGAGACTTATTGATGGGAGGGTAGGACAGAAAGAGTAGCTTTCACATGTCCTGTCTTTTTCAAGGTGGTCATGTGACTCCATCATCTAAGGACTCACACACTGTAGAGGAGGGAGACCCCAAGCTACACTTTGCAAGGAACCTGGAGGAATCCATTCCGCACCCAGTAGGTCCTAGACACTGAACCCCCCAGCCCTCGCTGGAGGGTTGGACAAATACAAAGATCCCTCTTTGTTCTTAGCTGCCCTCATTCTGTTAAGCCCAGAAGAGGCCTGTAGTTCCAGGGGGCTTCACAGCTCAGAGAAGCACAGTATTCCTACAACATCTGGGGCCCATCCCGGTACCTCCTCTCTTATTTACAGCCCCAGGTGGTCCTCAGCCAAAACCTAGCTGTAGGGCAGTTTCTGCTTGCTCTAGTCTCTCCCATGTGTACAAATAAGCGACAAACCTCCCCCTCATTCCCACTTTGCAAGGTGGCAAAGGTCTCAGATCTAGGGGGACCCTTAGGATGCTCTCTATCTTCCTAACATGAGGGCTGGCTGGTTAGCTCAGTTGGTTAGAGCGCAGCCTTATAACACCAAGTCATGGCTCTGGATCCTCATACTGGCCAGCTGCCAAAAGAAAAACAAACATCCTGCTCTGAGCAGTGCCCACCTTCTAGTCTTAGGACAAGGATGTTCGTTGAAAAGAGGCTTCTATTTTCCACAAAACTCCCTTACATAGAATATCTGATTTTTCCAGTGATACGTTTGTTGTCTCAGAATAGTTGTGGCCTTTTATCAGACTTGAATCTCTCTCCTCTCTCTTATTCAACAGAAGTGTGCTTAACTTTCAAGCTTCCTGAGAGCTCGCCTCTACTTTCTGCAAAGTGGGAATGTGGATTGGGTCCATTCCAGGATCAGAGCTGAATTGTGAATGGCAGAGGTTCAACATGGTTAAGATTTCATAGTCTTGAGTCTCAATTCTTAAAACAGAATATTCTAGAGGATGATTCCTTGAAATTCAAAAGAAAAATGCCACCCAAACTGTATCAGGTTTATTACCTGTAGGAAAGTAAGGAGCCCTCAGCCGGTGTCAGATCCGCATAGAGTTCCACTGAGTTTTACTTAGACGTGTGGCTCTGGACAAAATAGTCTCTGAGCCTCAGACACCTCATCTGTAAACTGGGGACAATGACAATACCCATCCCACAGGGTGCTATGAAGATTAAATGAGATAATGCATGTCGAGTGCTAGGCTCTGTGCTAAGTGCTTGGTATGTAATGGATGTGACATTACTGTCAACTGGGCTTGCTGCTGACGTCCTACTGTTTTCTGTCTTCTCTTTCCGGCTCACCTGGGAATTTGAGTTCTGCATCTTGTTCTTCACCATCTCTACAAACACTCGTCTCTTTAATACAGAAAGAATATTGACAAAATTTAGCTTATGTTGGGATATTATTATGGGATGCTATCCATTTGGAATGTTGGGCCTTCCCAGGAGCAGGTAAGGACAATGCGGGTCTGCAGAAGGGTGCATGGCTTTTGGGGGCAGTGGCACACCATCCTGCTGAATCTCTTAGGGATCCCTGTTCCAGATTCCAGCAGAGGAGGAGGTTGGTCAACTGAAGGGCTGTTGAGGAACACTGTACTCTCCTGGGAGGGTAAATCTGCTTCTGCTGGAACCCAGGAGCCCGAGTGCTTTCTAAGGGGCCTGAGAGATGGCAGCTTGTGGATTGTGGGCCTCGTGTCACCAGATCTTCCAAGTTTCCCCGAGAAGTTGGAAATCCAGCATATTCTGTGAAAGTACCCTATTTTGAAATGTTACTTAAAAGAACCCAAAAAACTAAAAATATCCCATGAGCCATGCAAAGTACATTGGTGGCTGCCATCCTGTGACATTTGCTTCTGAGCCTCCCATCTTGGCATAAAGTTGGTGCTCAGTAAATACCTGGTGGTGGGGTTGCCAGAAAAAGTACAGAATGCCCAGCTGAATTTGAATTTCAGAATGAAAGCAAATACTTTTTAAAGTATAAGTATCCCATGCAATATTTGAATAACTGTTGTTTATTAAATCTTGAATAACTGTTGTTTATTTGAAACTCAAATTCAACTGGGCATCCTGTTTTATTTTTCCTCCCTAAATCTGGCAACCCTAGCAGGCATTCCCAAAACCCATGGAGGAAGTGAGCAAGGCTGTCTTTTGGGATAGGGCCTAAGTGCTTGCGAGTCTCTTCCATTCTCAAAGCAACTGTCAGTGAAGGCTTAGGCGCCTGTGTTTGACTGACAGTTGCCCACTGGCATGTTCCATCTAGAAGGACTTGCACCCGAGCCACTCAATATTTATCACAAACTTAGTTTAGAGGAAATAAGTTCAGAAGACAGTCACCATCTAAATTCCCAGATACTGTAAAGCTGTGGTCTTTAACCTTCCTTCCTTCCTTTTTTCCTTTTTCTTTGTTTGCAGAACCTTTTACCCAAGCAAAATTCCACAAGGAGCTTGGCATATGAAACAGATATAAGGGAGAGGTGCTCTGGTGGAAACGAAGTGTGGGAGGTGTTGAGAGTCACGTCCTTCCATGGGACCCAGGGCTCTAGGGAACTCCAGCTGGAACACTGCCACAAAACCCGTTCCTGGATTAGTCCTGTCCATGGACAGCTGAGCACGAAAAAACAGAGCCCGCCCCGCCCCCAGGCCCACTTTTACTGAACTTCACTGGACTCATGGGATGTGGTGAGTTCAGGCTGTCTCAAGAGCTGTCCTCAGACGTGGCTCAGCCGCACTGTGTTACTTCTGCACTGAGACTATTCTCAGGGTTGTTCATCATACGAGGGAACTTCACAAAGTTCATGGAAAAACAGAATTAAAAGATAATACGAATCTTTCCGTGGACTTTTTGAAGTCCCCTCATACCATGCAATGTTCCCTCGAGGGGAAAATCCAATATGGGCTTTGTTCTAAGAACACTCGTGAGCATCCCGTCCCCTGTGTCTCAGGGACACCGTGAACTGTAGACCAAGTTGGTTTTCCATTTCCTGCTGCCACTGGGAAGCCCAGAGGCAAATGAGGCCCCCGGCAGCAGGTGGCAGGTGCGCAGGTTGTTACAATCGGCATTTCATCCTCGTTCCTGGCTCCATTTTGGGTCCACTTTCCCCCCTTCTTTCACCTGCTTCTTTCATTCCTAGCACAGGGGTTTCACCCCACTTTCCTCATTTTAGCGCAGGGATTCCTGGGTTCCCCACCTCTCCCTTCTACTTTTCTTATGACCTTGTCTCCAAGTCCCCAAATCATTTAGTGCCCAGGATTAGCCATTAGCCAAAATGATACTCAGATTCTGCCCTCCCTTTTCTCATGCTGCCTTGTCTCTTAGGTCCTTTGATCAAATTGCAGGTGGGCAGGGGCTGGGCGGGGCAGGGAGGGGAGTGAGCTGCGTGGTGTTCCTGGGGTGGGAGGTGCAGGCTGGCACCTACACCCCACAAGCTCTTACCCTTTGAAAAGAGTCTCTACTTTGTGTCTGGCTGCAACATCAGAACACTCTCCATACCTGCCTCTCTTTCTCTTTGAAGGAACAGTTGCAAGGGGTTGATCCTTTTGTGTTTCTCTGCTCGTGATCCTCTAAACGTTCCTGAGTGAAAATATCAGGTGAGCAAGAGAGTGTTTAGTGCGTCCTTAGCTGCTCCAATCTGGAACATACCTCTGAGGTTTCTGGGAGATGCTGGGATTCACCGGAATGGGTGGGCAGAAGATGGGGCGGGTGGGTGAGGGTCTTTTTCTTTAGCCAGCTTCGGTTTATACACCGCAGCACCCTCCCACATGTTCCTTTTTCATCCTGTGTGGTCCTGAGGGCACCGCTCCCAGCTCCCCTCCCTGGCCCCCCGATACAGAACATCTACCAGTTTCTGCTCCTCGGTCAGACTCATACAGCGGCACTGAGGAAACCAGGATCTTGAGAATACCTGGGCCCAAGAAAATCTTGGAAAATAGTGAGTTAAGTGGAACAGTGGTGACAACGATGATGGTCTAAGAGTCGTATTGAGTGGTCCTATTTGCTAAGGGTTTTATATACATGCCCTCACTGGATCGAACCTTATTATTATTTTTTTCTCATCTTAAAGAGGAAGGATCTGAGCTAATTCAGCAGAGGGAAGATGAGCAGCTCCAGCCCAGCTGAGACTGTTGCAAGGCTGTGGCCAAGCCCCTTGGCCAGGGTTTGATCGGCTGGAGCCCTGCGAGGAGCTGAGCTGCTTCCCCAGCCAGAAGCAGCCTGAGGCATTTCAGCCGTGCTCACACTTCAATTCCCAATAAAAGGCTAGGAAAGGGCTTGCATGCTTCTCAAAGGGCAACTTCTGTGTATTTAAATTTTTTCTATTGAAAATTCGTCTTAACCCATTCACAAAAAGTACCGGCTCCTTCTTGGCTGTAGCCCTAGTTGGATTCGCCAAATAGAAAAGAGAGCTTTACAAAGGAGCTGCCGGCTTTAGGAGGAGGAGGGAAAAGTCTCAGGGTTTGCTGGACTGGTCAGCTGGCAGGAAGCTCTCTGAAAGCAATGCAGGAATCGCCCCCTCCCCGAGAGTTGCCTTTTCTCTCCCCTACAGTAACCCGTGTGCTGGGCACTGCATGCATTATGCCATTTAACCCTCCCACTGCCCCAGGAAGTAGGTCCTGTTGTCACCGTTATTGCTGTTGTTGAGAAACCTGAGGCACAGAGGTAAAGTCACTCACTCAGAGTCACTCAGGGGCAGAGGTGGGCTTGAACCCTATTTGTCTGATTCCAAAGTCCACCTCTTAGCTTGGAGAGACACTGCTGTCTTATCTAGCAATGTAGGAAGTGGATTAGCCTGAGCACAGCTGGGCTAATCACTGTCACACGGTCACTTGGAGAGAGCTATGGACCCAGAGCATCCCAGGGTCCAGAAGCCGATGACCATGAGGTTCCCCATGAATGCCTAGCACTGAGGTTTTCCGAGTATTTTATATCAAGTCTCAGTTGCACAGCTGGATGTATTAGCATGGAAGCATGACTTTTGATTCTGGGAAGTTCTGCTTGGTGAAGAGATGTTCAAACATTAAAACTACACTGGTGTGTGTGTGTGTGTGTGTGTGTGTGTGTGTGTGTGTTGGGGGGTGGTTCCTGAAGCTCAAGTTGAGTAATTTCATTTCGTGGAGCCCCAACCATTCCACTTTTATGAATGGGTGCTCAGATTTTGTAGAGAAGACTGAAAAAATTAAGGGTCCTTGTAAAAATACGAGGTGTAAAACAAACAAAAAAAGAAACGGATTTTATTTTTCTTTAACTACCATTTTAAAACTGAAAATATATTTCTAGGAAGGAGCCGACGTCCAGACAAATCTATACAGGTTCTCTTTAGAATCCAGCAAACAGGAGTTTCTGATGACATGTTAATAACAAACCTTAAATGCAAAGCCAAGTCCCTGAATTAGCACCCGGAGAGCAATGGTGAATGGAATATGAGGGGGACATACTCTTATGCCCTGTTCACCATTCCATACCCTGGAAAGGCATGGGGGTGGGCAGCTGAACAGGGGCTGGGAGGGCAGGAGGTCTGGGTGGGATCCCATTCCTGCGGCTGATAACCAAGTAATGCCACTCTCTGCTGACCTCAGTTTCCCATCTCCGGAGTGGCTAATGCCTGCCAGCGCTCCTTGCTGGTGGATGTGAGCAGGTAGAGCGGTGCCTCCTACCCAGTAAGCACTCAGCAAAGCGCTCACCACCAGCGCTGCCGTGACAGTGGCTAGAGTTCCTAGCAAATCTTTCCCTACATTGTGAATTGCATGAGTTTGAAAGTTCCCACCTCTAACTCTTCTGGGGACCCCCGACACAGGTTTAACTTGATCATTTCAGATCCTCCTCCACTGAAAGATATCTAGTGCCAAACAGGCTGGCATGGCCTCTGCATTGTGTATGAATGAGGCGGTCATGAATAATGCATGTGAAGCTGATTATGTAAATCCCCAGGTTTTCTTACATTTTCAGCCAGCACACGACAATGGGCTTTTTGGGGTCCTTTGCCGTCCCATTCTGTGGTTTAGTGCTTGTGCTTTGGGAGTTGGCCTGCCAAGCCCTGGGGGTGCCTCAGGAAGGAGCGAGCCCTCCAGGGGGCACATCAAAGGACAAGTCAGACCTCTGTCCCTACCCACTCTCCCTGGCATGGCGCAGTGTGAAAGAAAACCGTCTTCTGCCTGAGGCAGCCCCGAGATGCACGCAGACTGAGGCCTGTGATGTTTAATTCAGAGGGGTGAATACTACCACGTCCTGTCTGGAGCTCCCCCAGAGCAGGACTGCCATTTTCATTTCTGTGGCTGCAAGCCAGGGAGCCTGTGGTCTGGAAGGTTTGCAGGATGGAGGGCAGGCTTCTGCAAGGAACTTACCTGACCCTCACCTCCTGGTTGGGAAGAGGGGCACCCCTCTGTGGGGATTTGGCCTCAGAGCTCATGCAGGCAACACACGCACATGCACACACAGTCATACACACGCAAACACTCATGCACACGCAGCACACACACACACACACAGGTGCATGCACACACACACAGCTCCGAACACAGAAAAGCTAATGATTACAAGGAGGAGTCTGGGGGCCAGCCCAGCACAGAGCATGAGACCTAGGGCCAGAGAGATCTGGGGTCAGGTCCCGGCCCTACTAACCAGCTACTATGTGAACTTGGGCAAGTCTCTTAACTTTCTGGGGCTCAGTTTCCTCTGTAAAAAGGGATCACTGTACCAGGCAGGGTTATTAAGAGGCATTAATAAACCCAATCACGGCTGCACAGCATGGACAGAGCCCAGTGCCTGGCCTGCAGATAGTCACGAAGAGGTGGTGGCTGTGCTTATTTTCCTTGTTTGCCTCATCCCAGGGCTGAGATCTGCTCTACCTTAGGCAACAGTTAAGGACAAGGGAGAATCTGGTTCCATTTAGAAGTCACTGTTCCAGCGCCCAGCATGGAGTAGGCTAAAGGCATGCTTATGGACTGTAGGAATGGAGGGAAAGAGGTGTTAACAAGCAAAGAAGACAAGAAACAGTGACATCACTGACCACTTGGCAGACACAGGATTGCCAGGGAGCTTCTGAAACTGTTTGGGTGCTGGTCATGCATGGCTCGAGTTGGGGGAGCTTTCTTGTAGAAGACCCTCCTGGGTCCAAGATGAAACTCACCTGAGAGACCACCTGCATAGGCAACTGACAACAGGGAGAAGGGCAGCATCCACCTGCCAAGTGCCAGGCCCTGGGCTGGTGCTTCAGAGACAGTACAAATCCCTCTCACCACCTGAAACCATTTGGCTCCTGGGTTCAGACAGTGGGAGTGCGGATAGCGAGGGATACCTGCACTGTATTTAATCCTCACAACAACTCTGCTAGGCAGAGGCTCTCCGCTCTCCATTCAGATGGAGAAAGCAGGCTCCAAGAGGTGAAGAGACTCGCATAAGGCCACACAGTTAGCAAGTGGGGGATTTGAACCCAGGGCTGACTGACTCCTGTACTATGTTACAGATGAGCTACCAGGGCTGGGGGAGAAGGTGGCTTCTTTTGGCTAGGTCATCAGCCTGAGCCTGGAATCTTGGTTTCCCAAGCCAATGCTATTTCCAACTCCATGCCAGGAGCAAATCTGTTATCCTTGTGCCTTTTCCTCTGGGCTCCTTTAGCCCAGAATGCCCACCCGCCCATCCCTTCGGTGGACAGACTCCAACGCTCCTTTGCAATTCAAAGTAGGTATCATCACTTTGGGAAGGAAGTCCTCCCTGAATGCTCTAGGCTGGCTGAGTGCCCTCTCCTGGATCACATAGCTGCAAGCACCCTCTGACAGCCCTTTCCCCATGAAATCAGCCTGAAGTCAGCTCTTCACCTGTCTCAAGGATGTTCTTCAAGGACATCCATCCACCCAACCATCCATCCACCAAATATTGGGTGTCTGCTATGTTCCAGGCACTCAGAATAGTGAACCCAAATCTCTGTTCTCAGAGAGCTTATTTATCTATGTATCCCAGCACATGGCAGAATGATAAAAATATGAATCATAGCCACCACTGAAAAAATACAGATGAGCACTATGAGCCTCAGAAGTCTCAGAGAGGTTAAGAAACCTGCCTAAGGTCACACAGTAAGTGGTAGACACCATTAGTGGTAGAGCTCTGGTCTAAACCTAGGCTTGTCTGATGCTAAAGCTATTCTGCCACCTTCCTTTGCAGCAGTAAACGTGTTCCGCACTACTGGGATCCTCCTGGGACCTCCCTTGGCCATTTCTAAAGGGCATTGAGGGGCAGCCTCGGAGGTTCTGCCCGAGCAGAGGCGTCTCACCTGCTGCTGCCGGATGGCTCTGTTGATCCTCTTCTCCTGGTACAGCTGCTGCTCCGTGCGCTCCAGCGCCTCCTTCAGCAGGGCCTTCTCTTCGGTTTCTTTGTAGATGTTGTCCTCCAGCTTGGCCACCTGTGACTGGTACATCTGAACGGACACTTTGCTCTGCCTGGGTGCACAGGAGAGACAGAGTCTCTGTCCCCCTCATCTTTGCTACTCATCGTCAACATCCCAGATCTGGAAGCCTCTCAAAACACTTCCCCAGAGGGCTTAAGAGACTTAGGAGTTTCATTACGAGGAGAGAATGACAAAGATCTGGGGACCTGAGGACAGGCCCATCAGCTGAGCATGTGTGGGAGGGTGGTAAAGGCACGCTGGCCACCCCTCCAACTTCCCAGAGAGGGGAGCTGCGACTACTGGAAATACGATGGAACTGTCCAAACCACCCAAGTGGTAAATGCTATGTTAAGGCTCGTAAAAGGTGCAGCTTAGACATGAGGAGAGCGTGCAGAATGGAGATGCCTGGCACTCTCCTTGCTGCTTTCTTGTCAACACACATCCCTCTATCAGGCCTAGTTATTGTCCCCTGGCCCCCAACTCCCCACCACCAGTATTTTAGGTTATTCCACACTCAGGCTTCCTGTCCTGCGCCAGTCCTAGGCATCTGCTGCTGTCTGTGTCTGGCCAGGAGAAGGGAGGCGGGGGCCTCTGCAGGGAGATGGGCAGTACCTGAGCTGCTCAATGTCTTTTTCGTATCCTCTCAAAAGCTCCTCTTTTCTCTCCAGCCGGTTCTTGAGTTGCGTGATCTTATCAAACACCAGATTGAGGTCCCTTTGTCGAAGCTGGTTGACTCTCTCCCTCTCTTTGGGGGAGAGGTACTTCATGGACACAAGGCCTGACATGTCCTTGATGTTCATCAGACTTCCGAGCGTCTTACTCAGGTCGATGTACTACAAAGAAAGCGTTCGAAGATAAGAGAACTTGCCCGACACCTCCGGTGGCCGCTTTTAGGAAGCAAACATCTACTCCTGTTTCATTCATTTTCTGCAATTGCAGAGATCAAACAAATGCTTTGGAAATGAGTGCAAGCAGGGCTTTTAGTATGACTTCCATTCTCCCCACATCCATTCACACTCTGCCCTTTTGAGAATGGGGGGAAAAAAGACAACAGATATAAACATTCATTCTAACTACCCAGTTTTTCAAGGAATTCCGCTATGCAATTTTGGACACATGCTGGGATAGTAGACAGGTCTTGCAGAGTTATTAGAACAACTAAATGGGTATGTGAAGTTGACATTTAGTCAAACTGCCCTGTGGTTAATAATGACTGCAGGGGACCAGGCTTTGGGCAGGAGGGGATGGGTGCTGCTTGTACATACCAGCTTTTCACTGAGATCTAAAGCCTCAGCCACATCCAGGGTCCCCACCTTTTCCATGGCTGGGCTGGACCCTGAGTTGGAAAGACTTTTCTGTGGCTGAAATAAAACAGAAATAGAAACTCTCTCTTGGCATGCCATTAGGAGTTTCTACAACCAGAAGCTACAGCACTGTGTGATGACTGAAGAATAACTCAAGAGCGTTGATGTTCATTTCAGTTCCTGAACATTCAGTCTGATTCCTTTGTCAGCTGCTTTCTTATGACTGTGTTCCTGCCCTTCAGAGAACGACTCTCTTTTTGAAACCATACACCACAGTCTTGTTCCTTGGTCACTGTCTGTCTTCCCTGTAGAACAGTGCTTCTCAATTGGAGTGGTTTTGTCCCCTTCCCCGGGGACATTTGACAATGTCTAGACACGTTTTTGGTTGTCACAGCTGAGGATGGGGAGTGTGTCTGGCATCTAGTGGGTAGAGGGCAAGGACGCTCCTAAATGTCCCACAGGACACAGGACAGCACCACCCCCCCCAATCAGCTAGACAATTCTGTTAGCGTCACAGTGCTGAAGTCAAGAAGCCCTGGTTTAGACACTAAGCTCCACAGGAACAGGGACCGTGTTGCTGTCACTCGCTATCCCACTCATTGTGCCTCATGTGGTACCCGGCACAGAGCCGCATAAAATGGGCATATTTGTTGAATGCATGAATGAAGGTTAAATAGAAAATAACCCCTCTCTCATTAAAGGAATCTCGTTTTCACATAGCAGAAACTAGACTCTCAGAAAATTTGGCCAAACATTCTCCTAACACTGGACTCTGATGTGGGAGCATCACTTCTGACCCTCTGTGGAGATGACGCAAAAAGGCGGTCACAGCTGTGCTCTCACGGAGTCCCTAACAGCCAGCTGGCTGCTGAAAGCCCCAACCGGATGCAGGGAAAAGCCACCAGGCCAAGCAGGGAGTCTGGAGAACCACAGACACTGTAATAAATCTCTTTAAAACAAAACCGGGTTTTAAGTGCTTGCTATGAACATCACGAGCATCTCAGCCCATGTGCTGGCACCACACTGTAAAAATTTTGCAATTAAAAATAAAACCCAACTACAAAAAATGTAAATACCTAAAAGTGACTGTGATAGGTAAGACTGGGCATATTTAACCATCTATAGAGATGAGAATAAAAGAGGGTATTGGCAGATGACAATACATTGGGCAGATTTGTTGCAAAAAAAGCCTAAGACGCAGCTTGGTATCTCCAGCCCTCTCCGCTGTGTCCTCTGCACCTCTGTGCAGGATCCCCCCTCTCCTTTCCTGAAGGTGGCAGGAGTCCTGGGTGAGGGTCACCTAAGGAAGAGTCTGGACTACAGAGTGCAAGCACACCAGCCCCACCCCCTTCTCTGCAGAGTAGCAGGTGCAGGAGGCAGACTATCAGGGACACAGTCTTGGCTCCAGTGTTCATTATCTGTGATCTTGGGTGAGATATTTGATCTTCTGAAGCCTTAACTTGTCTTATCTGTGAAATGGGAATAATAGTCACTATGACACAGGCTGCTCTGAGGATTAGATGAGATATGCATGTGAAGGCTTGTCTTGATGCGGCTTACAGTAAGCACTCAATAAATATCAGTTGTTTTTCCTCCTGCTCCTTCTCTTCTTTTAATTTTAATTACTGCTAACCCTGTGGGATTGAGGTCTCTTAAGAAAACTGGGAGGTTTCCTGCCGGGTGGTGTCAGTGGTGGTACTAGGGGTCATGGCCAAGGGGAAGTAAATCAGGGAAGCAGGGTCAGGCTATGAATCCAGCTGCCCTTCCACCTGGAGACTCCTCTGCTCCCAACCTCAGAGAATGAGGGTTTGATTTTATTAAACAAACCTGCTCATTTCCAAACACCCTTGTCCTGGACTCTAGCAAATATCCAGAAAAATTGTTGGAGAGAATGTTGGTATAGATAGGATGGCATCATTATTTCCTCTAAAAGGTGGTTTAGATCCATCCGCAGCAGCAAGCATACATGCCGTGGGGCCTGTGATTGACACTGACCTGAGCTGTCCATCAAATGCCCAAACATCCACTTAGGGCACTTTCAAGTTCATAGTGAAATCACTTCTGAAAATCCTCACAAATAAAACCATGACCCTATAAGAAGGGAAGTTGTTCTTGAATAATACAATTTAAATATTATTTGATGATGGTAACCGCTATCATTTATTAAGTTTTCACTATGAGCCAGGTACTGGGCTAAGCACTTTACAGAAATATCTCCTTCAACTTTTCCCATCATCATTTATAGAGTTCCAGAAAGGTTAAGAGCCTTGTCTGAGGTCACACAGCTTGCACATCTGGCATTTGGACACAGGTCCCCCTGACTCTAGAACTTGTGTCCCCTCAGTCATGACTCCCACCTGCTACCTTTTCTGCACTCATGTTTTTCAGACTTTAGGCAAACTCATATGGCATAACGGTATGAATTAGCCTGTTGAACATTTTCTGCAGAATGTAACACGTGATATGAAAAGGGGAGCCTGCTGTGCTTCAGCGGCTGATCGGGCCCAGTGTCAGTGCAATGACACACTGTGCTATGCACAGAGGGAAAGCCACCTTCCTATGCAAACATCAGACAAGAGGTACTGAAACGGCACTGACCAGTGAGTACAGACACCAGCCCATCACAGAGGACCCTGCCCCGAACCATTAACATGTGTGGCCTGCTAGGGCACCCAGCTAGTGTCTGCCCTCACGGCTGCCCTCTTCACATGCCAGTCACTGTAGAGACAAATTGTCTTTGGTTACCGCTCGGATCTCTATTCTTGAATGAGATGGCAAATCAGGTTTTGCGTCCAATAACATTTTCTGGACATTTTTTTCCATTCTGAGAAATGATTCAGTCAGGTGGTCCTTATGATCTAAAAAAGAAATAATTTAGACTCAAAAGAAAGGCTCAGGGAGAAGTTATTTCATGTACTAACCATAGCTACCATTTAATGGGACACTTACCACAGGCCTGTTTTAATCCTCTATGACCTTCTTTGGCAGATGAGGAAACTGAGGCCTAGAGAGGTTAAATGACTTGTCCGAGGTCACATAGCTAATATGACTTGCAGCCACATAGGTGTCACCCCGAGGCATTGAGAGTGAACTTTGCCTAAGGTCCTTCAGCCACAGGAACGAGGATGGAACTTGAACCCAGGCTCCTGGGTGTTAGCCCAGTGCCCTACCCAACAGTAAGCTCCGAATCTTGAGAGAGCCCCCTGCCCTTTAAACAGGGTACTCTCAGAGGTTCCCCATCACTGATCCTTGGACAGTGTTAGCCCATGACAAAATCTCACCTGGCCACAGTGAAGTAAGAAAAAGGGCAATACTGAGTTTTTCATGAAATCCTATTTATTTAATATCTAAGACTGCACTTAACTTTGAGGTCATGGTCTTCTTTTTAAAAAAAAAAATTTTTTTTTTTTGGTATTGCAATATCCTTCCAGTTATGAATTGATGGGGATAAAAGACGGTGGTCCTGGCAGATGGGTCAGTCCCCAAAATGAACCCTACAGTCTGGGGTCCATGGCTCTGTGAAGAGGAACTTACTTGTCGAGCAGGCCTTCTCGAGTTCTTTAATTCGTGCTCGAAGTTCAGACAGCGCCTTTTTCTGACGCTGGATGACCTCCTCATGTCGGGACCCCTTGCACTTGGCCCCCAGGTCGCTGAAGGATTGCTCCTGTGGGCAGAATGGTGCATATAGCAGCTTGATTAAGGATCTGAATATTTCTCTTACATTCACAGAAACATGAACAATTCATGCTCAGCAGGAACCCGGTCGCTTAGCACCTTTGGAAAATATCATAAGGGCTTCAGCAAAGAAGGAATTAAAATTTTTCATCTCAAATATCAAGTCACATCTAGGAAGATTTCCAACTTTCCTACCTACTTAGGATCACTATAAATAAAAGATCTCCTCTATGTTCTCTTTGCAACATTAAATTTATTTTTCTTCTAATATTCTTCTATGCCTGGGTTTCCACTTATTGTCATTCTGGTCTTGGTTCTGAACAATCACTGCAAATTCTACTCCTAGAGGGGCATTTTTATTTTTTTTCCTTTTTGTCTTTTTTCATGACCGGTAACGGGATCGCAACCCTTGGTGTCACACCCGCACCGTGCTCAACCAGTGAGCGGACCGGTCTCTATATGGGATCCGAACCCTCGGTGGGAGTGCCGCCGCACTCCCAAGCACCGCACTCTACCGAGTGCGCCACTGGGCTGGCCCGTAGAGGGGCATTTTTAGATGAGAACACATGATTCTTGCTTTTTAACTGGTAGTAATGGCGATTGTCTAAAATTACTAGTGGGAATTTGATGGACTGGATCTTCCTTGGTTGGTCTGGAGAAAGGAGAAACTTCCTCTGAGACTTCGGAGGAAGTCCAAAGGCTGTTCGGAGCCTCTAGAACAGTACTGTCCAATGGAACTTGTGCGATGTGGAAATGTTCTATACCTGCGCTGTCTAATGTGGTAGCCCCTGGCCACATGTGGGTCATATTGGATGGCTCAGGGTTAGAGCTGGGTTTACGAAGGGCACAGATAAGGAAAGGTCTTCTTCATCTTTTAAGGGTCATGCACCTGTTTAAGATTTGGAAGAATGCAGAGCTCTTTCCTCCAGAAAAATTCACACACCCACAAAAAGTGACATGCAACTTCTAGAGGTTCAAGGCCCCCCTGAAGTCCAGTCATGGACAGAGTTAAACAACACTGCTCTAGGGTAATCAGTTCATTTATTCACTCATCCATCCATCCATTCATTCATTCTACCCAGATTTACTGGGCATCTCTACGTGCCAAGCCTTGTTCTAGGTTCTGGGGATTCAGCAGGACTGAACCCAGCAATGTCCTTGCTGTCACGGGTTTTGCATCCTAATGTGGGAGATGGACAATAAGAAGGTAAGTACACAGTCCAATGGAACTTGTGCGGTGATGGAAATGTTCTATACCTGGTGCTGTCTAATGTGGTAGCCCCTGGCCACATGTGGGTCATATTGGATGGCTCAGGGTTAGAGCTGGGCTTACGAAGGGCACAGATAAGGAAAGGTCTTCTTCATCTTTTAAGGGTCATGCACCTGTTTAAGATTTGGAAGAACGCAGAGCTCTTTCCTCCAGAAAAATTCACACACCCACAAAAAGTGACATGCAACTTCTAGAGGTTCAAGGCCCCCCTGAAGTCCAGTCATGGACAGAGTTAAACAACACTGCTCTAGGGTAATCAGTTCATTTATTCACTCATCCATCCATCCATTCATTCATTCTACCCAGATTTACTGGGCATCTCTACGTGCCAAGCCTTGTTCTAGGTTCTGGGGATTCAGCAGGACTGAACCCAGCAATGTCCTTGCTGTCACGGGTTTTGCATCCTAATGTGGGAGATGGACAATAAGAAGGTAAGTAGGGAAAACATATGGTGAACAGTGATAAACGCTAAAGAGAAAATTAAGTGCGGAAATGGATTGGGTGGTTGGAACGAATTTTAGTCGCAGATAGAGCTGCTAGAGAGGGCTTCAGTCAAACTGGCAAGAAAGGGAAAAAATTGACAATCTGGTTCTTTTATAACAATTTCTAAAATAATTTTGGTTCACTTCATCTGCATTTCTCTCTCTCTCTCTCTGAGTGTAGATATAGCTAGATATAAACGATAATATATAGTATGAAGTGAACCAAAATTATTAAAAAAGTTTTCTATCTATCTTTCGCATTGACTACATGCCAGACAATGTTTTTGGCACTGGATGGGACCAGGGACCAGGCAGACAACCCTGGACCTCATTTCTATGGGGCACACAGATGACAGACAAATGTCACAGTCCAGAGAGGGACACATGCTACCGGGAAAACAAAGCAGAGGAGAGGAAGAGAGACTGTCTGCTTGTTCTTCTTCCTTTGATGACTCAAGTGTGTAATAAAGGCATATATGACGTGTCAGGCCCTGTGCCAGCCACCCTGGCCACCGGGGGTACGAGGCCCATGGCTCCTTCAGGGAGCTCAACAGTGCCATCTGAGGCCATCCACGGAGTGTCCCCCACTTCCCCGGGTCCCCACCACTCGCTCCTTCATTTCCTTCAGGCTCTGCTCCAAGTCTCCTGCAGAAGCCTCTGCGACCACCTGATCCGAATGAGCCCCCACACCCAATGTGTTACTCTCTGCCCCAAATCCTGCCGTACAGGTCCTCAGAGCGCTTGTCCCCGCAGGACATTTTGCTCTGTATTGACTTGTTATCTCTCCCCTCCCAGAATGTGGGCTCCATGAGAGCAAAGTCTTTGTCTCCTTTGGAGACTGTGCGATTCCGAGGACCTAGCCCTGTGCTTGAGCACAGCAGGCGCTCAATAAATATGGAGGCCGAATGAACTGAGGTCAGAAGCAGGAGCTGTATGGAGCTCGCCCCAGCTTTCCAGCTGGGACCAGAGCTCAGCACCTGAGAGAGGGGGTGCTCCATCCCAGGCTGCTTGTCCTTGGACCCTGGCTCCAGCCTGCTACGGACTGCACAGCTGGTCACTCCCTGGTTGGTGCTACATTGGCCACACTCATCTCTTTGAGAGTGTGTTTGCCTTGGGAGTAAACTACCCAAAATGTTCTCTCTCTTTCTCTCTCTCTCTCTCTCTGTGTATAGAAGGCAGGAGACACTGACTTTTGGGGGTCAAGGGTGGCCAGAGCAGCAAGGCTCTGTTACAGCCCTCACTTGGCCCAAGAGTAAGCTGGAGCTCCATGTGACCCGTCCTCATGGCTCTTCTGGGAATTTATCTATTTAGAGAGGATGAGAGATTCTTTCTCATACAACTGTTAAGCCCTGTGACCCACTCTGGCGTAGAAAGGACATGGCCTGAGTATGGAAAACCGCTCGGAAAAGGAACAGATACTTCTTTCCTTTTATCTTGCAGCCTCCCTCCCCCAGCCCTCTGCTAATCCCGCCTCTTGGCAGAAACTAAAAACCACGGGCATTCAACAGTCCATCCAACAAACACGGGCAGAGTCCAGGGGAGTCCGTGCGTCCTCCCCTGTCCCTGGCATCCAGCAGGCACTCAGTGGTTGTTGAGCGAGGGAATGAATATGGGCCGGGTCCTGCTCTAACAGCTTGGGGTTCCAACAGGAGGGACACATCCTCCCTGCCCCATGGAGCTTCTGGCCGCAGGGACGTTGCAGGCCCCCTCCCGGTCACCCTGAGAACAAGGAGACACTTCTGTTAAAGTGCTGTGTACAGCAGTCGGTGCCCAGGATAGCTGGCCGGACCTTGAGCCCTTTGGTTCAAGCTGTCTGTGGCCCCAGCTCGCTGCCGTCTGGCAGGGGAAAGTCGTCTTTGAGAAAACAGGAAGGCAAGCTGACACATTTGGCCCTGTTTCCAAGTGCAAATTCAAAGCCTATTACCGGAATGCCCTGCTCTCTAGTTTCATAAAGCCAAGGGAAGAGGATATTCCCGGACTCCAGGAAACCTGGGGCCTCGAGGAATCACTGAGCCCCATCATCAGCCTACTATGGAGTATCACAAACACAGCCACAGGGACAGGGCGCGTGTGCCAGCCTCGAGGACAGCCTCATGAAGACGTGCAGCTGGGACTTCCAGGCATGCGAGGCTTCTGGGCAGGCACACAGAAGTGAGCAAGAGACAGCATGGACCATTCATCGAGCTGTCCTTTGGGAAGGCAGTCTGGTCCTATTAAGCACAATTCAGGAAGTCCTTTGGACTCAGGATTTCACATCTAGGAATTTGTTCTACATACGTACACGTATATGAACTACAGCATTGAGGAAAAGGAGAAATAACCTAAGTGTTCATCAATGGGGGCTGGTTGGATAAAAGGGACACAATATAATTCTGTGCACTCATGTAAAAGAATGGGGCAGATTATTATTTTCTAATTATTATTTTTAAAATATTATTATTTTTATTTTATCTTTGACTGCTGGCCGGTACAGGATCTTTACATACTAACTTGAAAAGATACCCATTAAGTAGTGTCATGTGAAAAAAAAAGCTGCAGAATGCACATGGTTTGATATCATTAGAAAAATAGTTATCTGTTATATCAATATCTTTATGTATGGGTTTGTGTGTGTTTGTCTCTGTTTGTTTGTGTGTGTATAAAGAAAATTTATTTCTTAACCACCCCATCAGGTGGGGACAGTCATTACTCCCAGACCGAGGAACTGGTGCACAGTGACCTCCCTGAGGTCATAGAGTTTCTAAGTGGAAGAGTTGGGATTTGAACCCAGGCAGAGTGGATCCAAGCCTGACCTTCAACCACTGCACATTCATGACCGTGTGAAGATATGGTGGCCTCTTCGAGGAAAAGATCTGATGCCACACACGTCAAACTGTTGACAGCTGTAACCTCTGGTGACTGTGATCAGAGAGTCAGGATTCTGTGTTTTATTTTAAACATTTCATATAAGCAACCAATACTTTTGGTACTTAGAATGAAAATATTTTCAAAAGGAAAGAAAGCCACCCAATGGCTCTTCCTTAGCATGTCCTTCCAGCTTCCCAGGACTAGGCAGGTACCCACCTCTTGGCTGCTGGAGAAAGTATCAGTGTGGATTGGTTCTATCTGCACTGAGATGTCACACATCTGGGTCTTATTCCTGGGCTTCTGTTCCTTCTCTACATTCAGCTGAAGTTTGTGTTTCTCTTGGGAAGCTCTAGGGCAGAGAAGAGGAGTCACTGGCCAGTGGGATGGCACGGGGTTCCAGGAACTATAAGTTAACTTTTGTATTCGTTGGCAGGCAAGGAAATGGAGCTCTATTTTTACAGGAAACTGTATTATTGGAGACTTCAAGCATCTTGCCCTCAGATTTCTAGAGAATTTAATTTCAGGGGACTTACAGAAGGGTGGTCAGGGCAGCAGTGGGCACCTGCCCTCACTTTTACACTGAGCCTGTGGACACCTGCTGTGGCATTACAGGGACATTTGCTGCATGTCTGCTACTTCTAACACCTTGTATATGTTAACCTTTCTATTTCTCGTGATAATCCCATGAGTTAGGGACTCTCCTTGCCCCACTTTACAGACAAGTAAAGAGACACACAGCAACGTGCCTGTGGTCACTGAGCATCTGGCTTTGGCACCAGACAGCCTGGATCTGGAGCCTGTTCTTTAAACCACTGTGTGAATCTGCACTAGCTGTGAGCCACGAGGCACACAAAGTTACAGGATACACACAAGATATCAATCTTACTCAAACTTTTTTTGGGAAACCATTACTCATGTCAAACTATGGATAAGCTATGGACAAAAAGGCAAACTCGTGTATTTTTTAGATTATGGGACAGTCATGATATTTTATATTTATATTAAGCTGACTCCTCTACATTACTCATGTCAAACTATGGATAAGCTATGGACAAAAAGGCAAACTTGTGTATTTTTTAGATTATGGGACAGTCATGATATTTTATATTTATATTAAGCTGACTCCTCTGGCTTATTCATTTGTTTAATAAATATTAGGTACCCTTATGTACCAGGCACTGTGTTAATGCTGGAAAGTCAACAGCAGGGGAAGGCAGGCAGTCAAATAGGCAATTATTGCCTTGCTGTGTGATAAGTGGCAGGTTAGACAGAGTGCAGGGACCGAGGGACCCCAAGCAGAGCAGGAGCCCTTGGCTGTGTTTGGTGAGAGTGCGTGAAAGAGGGCTTCCTGGAGGAAGTGACATTTAAGCTGTGACCTGTCATTTGGAATATTGGGCAGGAATATTTGAGAAGCACAGAACTAAGCAAAGCCCTGTCTCAGTGGATGAGGCTAGGATGCAAACACATATGACTCATTCATTCGTTCAACTCTGCAACCAGCACTTCCTGAGCCCTGGCTCGTGAGGACCCCTCCCACACACCTGAGGGCCTCCTTGAGGACCTTCAGCTCCCTGTCCTTCTTTTCTATCAGTCCGCTCGTTTGTGCCATCTTCTCCTTGAGCACACTCAGCTCTCTGCTCTGTTGCTGGACCAGCGCCATGTTCTGCTCCAATTCTATCTTCTGCTTCTCATTAAGCTCCCCTGGAGGCGACATGAAAGCCAGTGAGGGGGCTCCCGCCTCAGGTGTCTGCTATGGCCACAGCAGATCTACTGAGCCTACAAGAAGCACAAGGCAGGTCCGCCTCCGGGAATTCCCAGAGGGCCTTAGTAACTGCCAGCAGGTCTGCTTGCGCCTTAGCGAATGACTGGCGGCACAGCACACGCCCCGTGTCTTCTAGCAGAGCTGACTATGGGAGTGCGCTCCCACCTCGCCCCAGCATTGCACCAGCAGATGCTATCAGGGCCCTATCGGCATCCCTTTGGCAATTTAGGGCACTCCAGCTGACATTCAGCTGCCTGCTCTGTGTCGTTTTGTCTAAGGGCATTCTAAGGCCTCCGGAGCCTCCTTGGCTTAATTGCCAGGTGCCACAACCTCCCACCAAGGACTGGTGCAGACAGAAGTCCACATCCCAGCCCCCTCCCCACTCAGATGGGGTAGCCTGGAGGCATGTGGTCTACCCTGTTCCCGGCCTTCCCCAGCAGGGTGAAGCTCCGGTTGACCTCTGTACCTGCTTGATTGACAACGCACCCTGTCTCACTTCCTTCTCTGCTGCTGTTTCCTGGGATTACCTCTCCAATAAACTGCCTGAGTGGAATTCTGGTCTCAGGGTCTGCTTCTCGGGGAACCCAAACTAAGACACCTCCATTACCTTGAATCTTCATAGCAACCCTGTTAATAGTAAGATTGACATCCCCACTTCACAGATGTGGAAACTGAGGCTCAGAGAGGTAAAGGGACTCGCTAGGGTCATGCAGCTAATAATGAGCAGATCTAGAATTGGGTTTGACGTCTCTGGATTCTAGAAATGGATGGACATTGTTGCCTCTGGTCTATGCTTTCTCATACCTTACTATGGAAAAGTCACTCTGAAAAATTCAGCCACGAATGCCTCGGGGGTATTAACAGGAACAGCCACTGAAGGTTTGGGGATGTACAGGTTGAAATGGGAACAAGACAAGATCAGCATTTTTCTCCCCCCTTCCACCTCCCCAACCCTGGTTCTATCTCCCGACTGCTGCCTGCCTGTGCCTTTTGGCTTGATGGAGACTAGGGACGGGGAAGAGAAGACAGCTGTAAGAAGCAAGAGGGCAGCAGAAATAGGACAGAAGAAGAGGAGTGAAGTAGGAATATGAAGCCAGAGCTGCTTGTGCCTGTCCAGAAGAGCATAGCTGGCCACTGACGTCCACGTCAACCCTGGGAAGTAACTGTGCTGCCTGCATTTTGCATCAGAGGAAGAGGAGACCAGGAGAGGCCACCTTACGCTAGGTCCCAAAGCTCGTGAGTACTAGGGCTTCTGTAAATGCCTGCCCCGGAGTGCCCTACAATAGCCCCCAAGGGAGGCAAATTCCCTGTGGTAAAAGAAAATTCTCCCCCCAAAAGAAAGTTGCATTTCAATGCAGAGGTCTAAAATCCTCTGGGGCATGTTGCCTGTGGCCCCTGGGGGTTGCTGAGTGGGAATCAGCACCATGTCCAGCATATGCTTTTGCTGACTGAGGGACAGGTGCTGGAACAGCACGGGAAGCGGGTTGATGGGATTTTTCATGCCAAATTTCCCAACTCTTACTCTCCATTTCCTTCCTTTCTTAAGTGGGTCAGATGTGAAGAGACACAGGAAATTGTTCAAACCTCTCAAATCTGACATGTGGCTGTGGGCTTCGGTAAGGTCTTTCCTTAACCTCATGATGACCTCCTGCTGAGACAGGATTTCCTTCTGAGCACTCAGTAAGTCCTCTCTGAAATTCACAAAAACAGGCAAAATCAGTTCAACTCCACCTCCATGGTGTCTCCCGGGTGCCTGGAAGGGCCAAGTACAAATGCGAAATGATGCCAGTCACGGTCCACGGGATGCGAATTCCAGCACGGGGATAGGGATGTCTTTAAACATCCCCCAAACAAAAATTCACTCGATGTTCCTTCATTTAAAAAAATACATCAAGATAGAAGAAAGGATGTGGCTGGGTTTGGTGGGAGGCTGAAATATGCCTTGCATGGGGTGGCACCCCTTCTCGCTCTATCTTCAGCATGAATGGATATGCTTCTGGGCTCCTGATGGTGGAAGGAAAGGGAAGACTGTTTTCTGGGATTCAGGGATTCCCTGAGGACAGCGAAAAAGAGAGAGAGGAAGACATGTGGCTTCTGTTCTCTCACCAGCTCGTTTGAGAGCCTGCTGGAGAGAGGTGGGCCAGAAGGGAATGAATGGTGTTCATGGGAGAGCTGGTGGAAGGGTGGGCTCTGGGGCCCAGACAACCAACGGGGGCAAAGGATGAGGACAGGACAGATCCCCCTCGCCCATGACCCAGAGGGCATGACCCCTGTGGCACCTTGAGGCTCAGGGCGGTTGACAGGGAGGATGGCTATGCCCAGTGGGCAGCGAAGGGTGCCAGCAGTTATGGCAGGGTCGGGCGCCTTGATGGGGCGACCCAGAGGGCATGAGCCCTGTGGCACCTTGAGGCTCAGGGCGGTTGACAGGGAGGATGTCTATGCCCAGTGGGCAGCGAAGGGTGCCAGCAGTTATGGCAGGGTCGGGCGCCTTGATGGGGTTAAGCTGGATGAACCCGGATGCATTTCTGAGCAAGTGGGGGAAACCTCAGCTGTGGGGCAAGACGTTTTGTGTGTGTGTGTGTTGGGGGGAGGAGGAAGTGTGGCCACGTCTTGCCCAATGAGAAGGGGGTTAAGAGCTTCAGTGTTGGGGCAGGTATTAATGTCAACTCATTCGAGTTCACAGGCTTTTGAAATCCAGGATCTTCTCATGTAGACATGTGAAGGTAGAGTATTTGAAGATGTGTTTATTATGAAATAAAGCAAAATACTGGCAGGTTGCATGTCAAGAAAAAGATTGGTGACCATTGGAATGAAAGTAACTATATACATATTACATAGACACATATCATAGTAGTAATACATATAATGTGTGTGTGTGTGTATATATATATTTTTTCTGTGTGTGTGTGTCTCCTTGGCTATAAGCATAACTCTTCCAACTTGATGGTGACACTTTAGAACTCAGATGGCCGTACACAAGCCAATGAAGCGGACCAGAGAAGAGCAACGTGGTACTGATTCTTCTCCAAGTCGTGGCTACTACCGTCTCTAGAGAGAGTTCTAACAGGAGAAGGAGTCAGAAATTTCTCAAAATGTGGGGGTTGGGTATCTTTGTCTTTTCTGGGGTTAAAAACCCCGTGACATTAGACCTTGGTAACTGGAATTTGGAGCAAGGGTCAGGCGGGTGTTTTGTCTTCTGTGAGAAACTTTCTGAAAACTTTCTTGGCATCACATCAGTGGCTCTCGTTTACACGCTACTTTGCAGTGACTTTCTGGATCTTTCCCGCCCATACCTTTTGTTTCTCTGAAAACTGTCAGTTCCTTGAGGCTCAAGTCAGAGGACTCATTGACTTTCAGGGTTGTAAGTGTTGAGGTCATTTAATTAGGGTCATTTAGTCCAACCCCCTAACTGTTAACCTTTTCCAGGACCCCACCCACCAAGTGGCCTCCACTGTTTGTGACCTCCACTGTCTGCTTAGAATATCTAGGAACGGGCTTGCCGCTAGCAGGCACTCTGGAAAATAGCTAATAATAGTATCAGCTGGCATTTACTAAGCTCCAGGCACATACATCCTTATTTCACAGATGAGGAAGCCAAGGCCCAGCGAGGTGGTGTGACTCGCCCAGGGTCACACAACGAGCAAGTGTTGTGTCGGGATCTGAATGAAGGTCTACTTGGGTCTTGCCACGATACCATCCTGACTCGCTGCAGGAGTCTGGAAATTTAAGCAACATTGAGAAGACCCTGGATCAACTCTTTCTTTCAGGTTCTGACAACGTGGTTGGAGGTAGGGTTTTGGCTGGTTTGTCTGTGCTCACTTGGTGCCAGTGAGGCCGGTCTGGCACTCGCACACCCGTGGCTACTCACATCAAGTGGTCACACGCCATCTCTTTGGCACTGCTCTCCGACGGAGGAGCCACTGGAGGGTCTTGCGGCATTTCCTCCTTTTGAGCTGCATCAGAGGGACACACAAACATTATTACAATCCTCATGCAACGGATGCTATCCTTCCCCTGTGCTTACAAACACACCTGCGTCTTTCGCAACTTATAAACCCTCCCTACACCTGCAGCCCTCTCCACCCATGAGACCCGCCACCTGTTCTGTGTCACAGGCTGGGGGCTCTCTCCATGTGTGAGGCCACAGAATCTCCCTGGCTACCCCATACAGCAGGGATCAGCAACTCCATTTATAGACAAGGAAATGGGCATCTGGGTGACCCTGCTTGCGACCACTCTGCTAATGGTGAGAGGTGCAGCCTTAGCCACTGGTTACACCGCCTGCCTTCTTTCTGCTTTCTGCCCAGACAAGAGTCTTGGAAGAGTAACCTATGTTCAGTGCCTTCCTGTCCTCACTGCCCACTCCCTTCGCAGCCCACCGCCTCTGGTTTCCATTCT